GTCAATATCGATTTCAGCCAATCAAATTTGTGAATTCGGTAGTTCCCAGTCCTTGTGAGACACAGCCATATAATAAATGTTATTATAAAGTGCATTTGATCATATTTATATGTTAATTTGCGCTATAGAAATGTTAAATATTATTATTGTTGTTATTATTATTATTATTATTATTATTATTATTATTATTATTATTATTATTATTAATATAGGATTCCTGTGTAACTAAGGATTTTTTGTATGCCTAATGTAAGATTCCTGTGAAAGGTGGTTCTGGCAACTTGCAGGTCAATTAATTTTGCCTTGCTACTTCAACGTATCATTGGATTTGAAACGCAAAACAGCAAAGTAAAATTAACATCTGTCTTAACAAACAATAATTGTAAATTATTTTTGGACATCAAATGAAAATCACACATGAAACATACGCACTGCTAAGATTTTGTCTTATCAAGGTTTCTGACTGTTCATATTCTGTAAGGGGAAAAGCCCTAGGTACCAAGATAAATACAAACTGAGAATGAACCGGGCAGAGGTGAGGACCTGTGTAACTACTGTGCTTGAGCCAACACATTGCAACATCTGAGATTGTTTCACTAGTTTTATATCATTTGTACATGAATATTCTACTTGCCTATTAGCTTTTTTATTTCGCATCTGGTTCGGACAAATTTCGAGTTTTATCTATACCTGGCACAAATTTGGACACTGAATTGTCTGTAGAAGTTTTTGTAGCGTTTTACCTCTGTATGCTTAAGTTTTATTAATATTGACTATATATGCAAGTTTCAAAAGTTAACAGTCTCATGTAAGGCCGTAGNATATCTGTAATTTATAACCTCTACAGTTCTACCTGGTACAGCTGTAGAGTCGTAGAAACAGGTAATGTATTTGTTTTGTTTTTACTGCTACATTTATCCCATTGTTCTTGTAGGTGCAGCTGAAGCATTTATGTTCCATGCATAAAGTTGTACCCACTTTTACGCATTTACCTCACTATGCCTCTATGGCTGTACTGCTCTACGTGTGTAAGGCTCTACGTAGAGTTTGAATGAACCTTCTCTCAAAAGTTTACTTACACTGTAAAACTCCCCTCAAACAAGTTTATTAACTGCAGGGACAGACATTGGGTCGAAATTCTATCAAATCTTTTTTTTTTTTCCCATAGGCGATATTTCCATAACATCCTTTATTTTCTATTCAGTTTGAGGGATGCTTGTTCACCTCATTATTGTGGTACCATACATTATGCTACAGTGGAAATTCATCCCTTGATTTCAGAGTTACATTATCGCTTTATTTAGCTGCCATTACATGCAGAAAATCTTTATAGATGAGACGCTTATGCTTAAAACTGTTCATTTTTTTTAGCATTTACTTGTTTGTTACCATTTTCCATTTTCCATATTGGCTACATGCACAAGTAATGCCCTCATATCTAAAGGGTTTACCATTACACACAGGTTGTTTGCTTGCCTTTTTTTCTTTTCTTTTCTTTCTTTTTTTGTTTGTTTTTGTTTTGTTTTGTTTTGTTTTTGCCTTTGTATGAGTATGCACTTTTTTTTCTTGTTTTTTTTTAAGGCTGTTGTTGTTAAAAGTGTGACAGGCCTGACATGACTCCTGTGGGTTTCGTGATGTTGTATAATTAGTTTGACCTTAATATTTTTGCTTTAACGAGTATATCTTTTAGAGATCTGCCTCTTATGTAAGAGATTATGGGTGGTTCTCAAAAAATCTCTCGAAGCAGGGGTTGTTTCTCAATGATATGCCATTTGCTCATTAAAATCTTTTTGAGATTTTGCACTAATGGTTTGTATTTTCTGACGAAAGGCAATATGACTTTTCGCACCTTCTGTTTTTCCCATAGCGCGTATTTTCTCTCTAAGAATTTGACTTCTGCGAGGATCTTTTCAACTACATTGTTTGGAAAGCCTCTGTTACGTAATCGCGCCTTGAAATTATTAATGCTTTCTGCAAAAAGCACTTTTGAAGAGTTAGTTCTAAGAACTCTGAGGGCGTCCTCTTTGATGAAGCCCTTCGCCACACCAGGGGCGTGACAGGAAGAGAAATACGTGTACTGAAAGGTTTCAGTAGGTTTGAAATGTGTGCGAATGTCTAGGATTGACTCCTCATAGAATCTTTCACCTTTAAATACTGTAATGTCTAGGAAGTTTGTATCTTTCTCTGATATATTAACCGTGAATTTAATGGTAGTACGATGCCTGTTGGCTTCTAAGATAAAGAGATCAATCTCTTCTTTTGTTGTATCCCACAAAGAAAATATATC